CAACTTTGGAAAGGTGAGGGACCCTGACCGAAGCTTGAACTCGGAGCCTGTCGGTTCTGAGACGCTCTACCGACTGAACAACCCCTGTCCGAAGCAATGCGTAGTTAATTCCTTGCTCAGTGTAATTCGTGAATGAAAAAAAAGGAGCAGACCTCTTAGACAACTGTACAAACACCCTACTTGTTGGAACAATTCCATCGCTGGCTCGAGGGACATACTTGAACGGTTGTTTGGACAAACGATCCATTCAGTTTCTTCAATACCATAATGAACAGGCACTACGAACTTAATTTCTAAAGGACTTGAATAAGTTTCATGAAAAGCATAGAAAAGAGCAACAGTTATAATGAAGCCGGTATAATCAAGGCGTCCACCACTAGACGGTCTTGAATTAATGCAGGAGCCCTGTTACTGCAGAAACCAAAAGGCAGTGTTTAGGCGAGCGGTTTCGAACTCCGGAGTTTACGGGTTCGATTTCGGCGGAAGGCCGTCATTGTCTTAACCACGGTATTTCTTGAGCAACGAGCTTATATAATAGTTGTTTCGAATCTGGGTTACTCGGTCGGTAGAATCAAGAGGTACTAGGTTTGAGCCTCTGATGGGGTCAATCGCTTTCCTTCTCCAAATCGGACTGATGTGTATCATTCTATGGGAAGGAAACAGGAGACTAAACGCTATGCTCGCTACGTAGGTGCTGTCGACTCTACCTTTAAAACAAGACACTCCTGGCTGATGGCACGAAAATGACGATCAGCGTCCTGTCATTAAATTCATGGGAAAATGGGCGCCAGAAAGAGTCCCATAATATGACTGTAAGGAAGACCGACATTCTAACAGTAAAACGTTTCTTTTGCGTTTTTTCCTTACAATGATATTTGTGTGTGTCGTAAACTTCACATACAGCTGCAATTCTCCTAATCCGTTAAGGATGATGAAGGTTCGGGAGATCTTTATAGCTGATGAGGGTTGGAACCTCTAATGGACTATCGAACAACTGCTCGCCAAAATACGCACAAGAATAGCGAAGCTTAGATGAGCGCCGAAATGCGTTAATGGCGTGCCAGAACAAGGTAAGACGGATGAAGGATGTTAATCCGTTTGCTATATTGCACCCAGGCGACAGAGGAATAATCTCATTTCGTTGAGTGACAGATTTCGCTGTCCCCACTCCGTCGGTATTCAGAGATCATCACCGATCATGAATGACAACACTATTGTTGATGAATAGGTCCTGCAGAAATGTTCAAAACCAAGCTCTATGTATCTTGTTGCTATTTTGGCTATTTTGTTGACAAGCTACGAGATGTCTATTACTGCTACCGCAGCAGCAAATGAATTAAAATTAAATCAATAACCATTCTGATTGTTGTTGCATTTTTATTGCATATTCTTTCACACAGTAAATATTTTTCCAGCAGCCATGGTCTAGCCATTAGCAACTAGCTGCGGCCAGCTAAAAATTTGTTAAAGATTTTTCGCACTATGACTGTATCCAAAATAACGAACTTCTAGTGCTCTTCTAATAGCATTTCTCTGAACTTCTGATGGTCCAAGCCGGTCTGCGTTGATTTCGAGGTGACGCTATATGCAGAGATCTGTCTGATTGTTCGTTTTATTCTTTGTGTACTGGTCATGGAATGATTTACACGCAAGATTGAATCGCATTGTCTCTACACGATACAACTTTTAGTATTCGGAAGCAGTGGAATTCATCTACACGACCGGATGCATCGAACGTGTCCTCTTTTCGATCAGAAAGAACATTCTGACGATTTGCAGTGTTTCGCTTGGTCTCTCCTTGATACCGGTAAGTTCAAGCGTTTTTGGCTAGTAATTGTCTAGCAGTTCATTCGGAGTGCCAACTTAGTGA